ACGAAATGTGACGCGAGCGCGCGACTCTTTGTGTGTGTAAAAATCCTGCCAAAATTCGTTACGTCATAAAAGGATAACCCATAATTAGTTGCTCCATCTATATCAGATCATGTCAAACCATGAAACCGTATTGGAGATGTCACCTTTGGCACCAAAGGGATATTGTCAAGCCCAGTTATCTTACTCAGAGACATATGCGTATTTATTTATTATATATATATATATATATATATATATATATATATATATATATATATATATATATATATATATATAGATATATATATATATATATATATATATATATATATATATATATATATATATACCTTGCTGTAGACTTGTAAATTCGTCTCCTAGCATCTACGGTGTTAAACCACCATCAGGTTTCCTCGAGCTGAGGCCAGATTAATCCACTATTTGTGCGTGGGTTGAAATACTTGAAGTAGACTCCTCCAAGTTTTCGGTTAACAATAGTTATCAGATTAATGATAATTAAGCTTATGACAGCATAGACATTTAGTGCTGTGCATTTTTGGATACATGTTAGCTTTCAAGGAAAATTGTTTGTATATTGCAGAATTTATGTTACAAAGGATGTAACCCAGGGTATAGTTTGGACCTTCAAGGTTGTCATCTTATCACGTTTGGTTTTTCGGGTGCAAGGGATAGTTTTAATCCACAAATGGCGGGTGCAAGGGACAGTATTTATGTACACAATTAAAATTTCATACACGTCTTATATAAAAATAAAATACACAAGAGAGGTCAAATACGTCCATATTACTGGATAAAGCAAAACATAAGAATATCATTCAAGTCAGCGTAAATTCATATAACAGAAAGTTCATGCAACCCATCCACAAATTTATGCATGCATTTTTCATGTCCGAATGCCATTTGTTTGAGAACACGAATGCAATCACAAGCACTTTCCTTGGGTGATAATGTTCAATAATAATGTGTACTTAATAGTTTGATGCACATAAACTAGTTGTCATTCTGGCTGTTTTTTTTTTAGATGTTATTCTTGCCCCGAACCAACAGGTCTACTGCTATAAGTGGTCAGCTCTGCTTCCTGGCCGACTATTGGTATTTCACTGGCTAAATAATGTGCAGTGACTACATGAGATGTTCATGCCTCACATTAGTTTCAAGAACAACACAAGACCAAATTCACAATATTTCCATATCTTTAATTATTACACAATAATAGCTCAAAAATCACACCATAACCTTAAGCTAAGAAATTTGACAGGGGACAATATATGAAACTGTCTCCTGTCACCTTAACGGCGCATACACCTGCCTAATGTAAAATACTTGGTCAGGCTTTCTTAATGTTCAGATGTATTGTGAAATCGTACGTGTCCTCCATGCGCGTGCAGTTTAAACGACGTATTAGCTTCATTTTTAAGCTGAGGTATTTTGTAAGAGTCATTCACAGTCACAGAGTCATTCACAGTGAGAGTCGGAGTTCATTGTGACATCTTAGAGTTACACAACTTCTATTACCTTAAACAAAGGTATTTTTGTGCTAGAAGTTGTCTGTTAGTATGTAGAACAACGTGTATCTTGTTAGTGTAGCTATTTTTACTTCGTTTTTCTGAATAATTGTTTTCTTGGAGAACAACATTACTGGTTTGGACAAAGACATTTTCCGAAAATATTCTAAATTGGAACGGAATAATAAAAAATGTGCTTTACTGTTTAAATGCTGGATTTTTCTGTTAGCCTTCGTTTGACGAAATCATCCACCATTTTAGACCTGAGCTTAACTTCAGACTGTGTTTAGAACTTTTTACAGAACTTTTGTTTATCTTTTTAAAAAACGATTTGGATCATTTCCGTAAATCGTAAGTCTTGTTTTACATATTTACATTATTATCGTGAATTCTAGGAAAATAATGTTTTTAAAAAAAATTTACAAAGCTTGTTGTCTTCACTATATCTTTGAACGAGCCGAGGCATAACAATTTATATTTCACCTGGAAATTCAATGTAAGTTAAATTATGTAATCCAATCCAAATTTATACATGCATGTTTCATATTTTGCTCCCAAAACAAACTCAAGCCCTTTTCCTGGTTAATAATTTTGAAAAAGATTGTGTAGTTAATAAATTAATTCAATTAAAGATAGTTGCCATCCACTCAGTCCTTGAGATATTCTACTTGCTTTAAAATCCGTCTGATTGAAATCATATCTCCACTGTTCTACGTGAACATCTGATAGCGACCGCTTAAGGGTCATGTTCTAGTGACCTTTGGATTTGCCAATTGAAATGCAGCTTTCGGAAATTTGAAAGTGAATCAGATCATTCGGCACGCGTTTATGCTCTTCAGTCATATTTGCCAGGTCTTACGAACGCATACATTATAAGGCTTCCTCTGACTGATCAAAGTTAGCGAATTTGGTAATAACGGGGGTCACCAGAACAACTCTTAAGGGGCTGCTGTCAGATCTTCACGTATGATAGTAAAGATATGATTTTAATCAGGTTCGCCTTCAACACGTCTGCGGCGATGGGTGGCTACGTCTGCTTACTAACCGACTGTAGTATTTCACTGGCTATATACTATGCAGTGATTATGGGAGGTGTACATGACCGGCACCAATTTCGAAGACAAGCCCAAAACACCTAATTCATAAACATATCCATATCTTTAATTAATAAATGCCAATTTACGAAACTGTCCTCTGCCATCTCAGACTGGTTTGGACAAGTTCCAGAATGGCCACTTTGAAAAGAGTGCAAGGGACAGTTTTATGCATTAATTTAATTCCGCATTCACTGGCCTAGTATTAAAAAAAAATCATAAAAATTACAACACACACGAGGTCAAAAATGTCCATATTTGTAAAAAGCTATATTAAAACCAAGCATAAGAATATTATTCAATTTACCAGAGAAGTCAATGCAGTTCATAGCAAAGAAGTTTATGCAAACCAACCCCAAATTTATACCTGTATTTTTTAATGTACGAACTCATTTTTGACACCACTTGATGGTCACAATGCAAGCACAAGCCTCTTTCCTTAGTGATAATTCTACAAAACATTGCGTAGTAACAGGCTGATGCAACTGAAGAAAAAAGCTATCCAAGCCATTTTTAAGATATTTTCCTTGCCTTGAACCCACCTGTTTATTGCTATGGGGTGGGGGTAGTTCTCCTTCCTAGTATTTCACTATGCCTTACAGTTTCTAGAACACTAGCCCCAAATACACAGTTCACAACTAAATTCATATCTTTAATTACTAAACAACAATAACTGAAAAAGGCACACCGTAGCCTTCAGTAAAAAATTTGACGAAACGATCCCCTGCCATCAAAGTGGTACAGGTTGATTTGGACTGTGTCTGATTCAGGCCAGATTACAGCTGTTTCAGATCGTGTGAAATATAATACCGTTTGGTTTTAGACTGAAATGTGACATTCACAGTTCTTTTGAACATATTTCTTAATATTTTCTATATACAATGAACAGTTCAAAAATCTATTTAAGGAAGCAAAGACCCCGATTGTGTAAAACATAATGGCAGAGTTCTGTATTCGACTCAAATGAAATCATGCAATGCTATCTTACCTTGCCAATTTAATAGTGAACTATTTTCAAAGCAGTTCATTCATCTTTCTGGAGAATTGAAATAGTTTTCTTTATTTTATAGAGAAATAATACAATTACTAATACTGAATAAAGTCACAGAGCATGCGCAGTAATATATTGTTGCAGCTACTTTACTCAGGCTCAGCCAATGTGGGTATACGAGAAAGATGTCATGAGCATTCTAGTTGGTTGTTCTTGTTTTCTCAGTTTCTTCCTCTATCAAGTTATATTGGCAACCATATACATCCCATCTTGCGCTGAGAAATAGCGTAACCCCACCCCAAATCCCTATCTCTCTGCATGTATGTATGTATGTATGTATGTATGTATGTATGTATGTATGTATGTATGTATGTATGTATGTATGTATGTATGTATGTATGTATGTATGTATGTATGTATGTATGTATGTATGTATGTATGTATGTATGTATGTATGCATGCATGCATGCATGCATGCATGCATGCATGCATGCATGCATGCATGCATATATATATATATATATATATATATATATATATATATATATATATATATATATATATATATATATATATATATATATATATATATATATGTATATATATATATATATATATATATATACATATAAACACAGACAAACACAGGTCTTGAGAAAAATAAAAACGATTTTAAGATATTTGAAAATATTTATCTTTATCCTCTATAGTCATATATAGTAACAGTGGCAAGTGACACTTATAAGCTAAAATGTGAAATCGGGGTCCTGTCTGATTTGTTTTAAAACAATAACATACGTCTATATTCGTCTGATCTGGTGGATTCGCATTAGCCGTAGTAACGAAAATGATAAAATAACGAAACAAAAAATTGTTATACTGTGGAAAGATTTTGAGAATTATGATGTAAGTGTGGGGATTACCCATGTTTTAAAGAAATTATTATTTGATCAATGCCGCTATAATGGTCTCATTATAGAGTCAGCCATTGGTTAAATAATTAGCTTGATCAGTACGCCCTTAATTTAATTGTATACCATAATAGTTTGATTACCTGAACATCGAAATAGCAAAACATGCTTTATCAATGACGCTATAACAAAAGCCTTGTAATGTAAGATTGCAATTGGCTGAATTTAATACCATTCTAGAATAATGTGTGTGTGTGTGTGTGTGATTTAGATTTTTAACGTAGCTGTAACAATCTTTCAGTCATATCGCTACGATGTCTGAATTTTGACAGTTTATAGTGATGTCTAGCACATGAGCATATTATGTCGCAGACATGTAGCATGGTGTCCCACCCAGTCACATTATCCTGACATCACGCCGACCAATCCTAACACTAACATCTTAATGCTGAGTGCCAAGTGAGGCATCTGTTAGAACCATTTTTGTAAGTCTTTGGCATGACTCGGCCGGGGTTCGAACCGGTGACCAACCGCATCCGAGGCGGACGCTCTAACCACTAGGCCACCGGAGCAATATCCTAGAATAGAAAATATAAATCAAACTTTAAATAACTGATGTTCGGGTAGATGGAACTGTTGCATTAACATAATAAAATCTCTATTCAGAAATCAAGCTTTCAATGGATTTAATCCATGCTAAAAAGGAAATATTTATGTTAATTAATAATGGAAGAATTTTTAAAGACTGGGTTTAGAATGAAAATAAGTTTACTTGTTTGAGATTTTATTCACAAGATAAATATTCAATGATAAATGTAACGTATGATTTATAATTTTGTTACTCATCATTATTTGGTTACTCATCAGTAAATCTTTACATAATAGCTGGAAAAAAATAATGCGAAGAAAACAGGATTTTCATGAGAAATTAATAAAAGCCATTGTTAATTTATGCACATTACTGTTTATTAGTGTTTAAGGTCAGCCATACTGGCCGCATTTACGAAACGTTTCAAAATTCAAAGAATAACTTTTTTTCTTTATTCTAAGTGTTGAAAAGTTATTTTGGTAAAAAAAATGTCAAAGTGGTAACTAATACACTTGATCTATTTTAACTGGATATACAGAGGTATACCTGCCGTGAGTCAAGTTAGATTGCCCGAAGGCTGCAGATGGTGCCTCAGTTGTGTGTAGATAGTGAGAGGTTGGTCAAGTGGGTAAACTTTGGGCCTCCATTGTGACAGACGGAGCCATGGGCGCACAAAAAGGGGACCTAGGACTAGGAGGTCCGCAGCCGCGTTGATTAATCTAAGGAGGCGAACGAATTCCCATGAGGATATATAGTTTTCCTCAAAAATAAATAAGTCGTAAATCTGCGGATTTTCAATGCCCGATCCCGAGGAAGACGAACCAAGTTTGCATGTGTATAGACCTTCATATCTAGGTGAAAAAATTGATGAAAATGCACCAGTTCAAATTTGACGATGTTGACAAGAAAGCCCTGGTTGGTAAGCAGTGTAACAAGGGTTATTATGGCTTGATGCAAAATACAAAAAAAACTGTTGATTTTGCATGATCTATTCCATGTAACTTGATGCTGCTATCCGGATATGCGCCCTGACTTGGTTTATGAAATGAATTAAGACTCATGGATTGGTTTTGTGCTTAAATGGGAGTGCTCTGAATTGGGATACCATGTTGTAGGAGAAGCAGGAACTTCCTGGAAGCCTGGTAAATAGAGACATGGAGGTAAGTCTTAGGTCCATACTGATGGCGAAGTCTCTCTCCTAGATGCCATTCAGAATTCACCGTGGTGTGTCCATTGTAAACCATGTGGCGTAAATGAAGTGATTGAGAGAGTTGCGGTGGATGATCGTTTGCTTTCGGGACCAAGAAAAGTCTGGAATAAAACCCCGGAGAAAAAGTGTTTCGAACGAGTTCTACGGTCCCTATCTGAAGAAGGTGTTAATTTCCTGCTAAAAGATGGTTGCTTTGAATGGATTTGATGAGACGTTTGTAAATGTTGGGACTCTGGACAGAGTAGAGGAGGAGGAGTGTAAAAAGTTATGCAGAGTTCATCGGAAATCATTTGTCGAGTCCATGGATTGTTGTAGCAAATCTTGTCCCATTCAGCCACAAAGAATTGAAGCCTTCCTTAAACTGTTATGTCCGTAAAGGTCGAATGGAAATGACGTTTTTATTAGGGTTGAGGCTATTGAGAGGAGCAATATTGGGATGAACGATAGGATCCTCGAGAGTTGTGGCTTTTGCTGGGTGGAGCTTTGGTAGGACGATTTTGCCAGAGTGTTGTGTTCTTTGTGTGGCTCACTAACTGTTGTATATCATTAAAAGACCATAGGGTCCAAACGTATGGAGCGTGGTTTAGTCATGCCCAAAGCGGCGATATCGCGGTCGACAGCCTGGATGCCAAATGAAAGGCAGGCTTATGGTAAAGGTCTAAAGTTAGAGGGGAGTCGCTTTTGTGAAAAGAAAAAAGTCTGTTGATGTCGCGATCCTGCAATTGATGGTGAAGACAGTGCATAATGTTCTTAACTCTTCTACAAAGGAATAATTTAGAATTATATTTTGATATTATAAAATCTACTGTGAATCTTTGCCGTCATTTCCAATTCTGTATTATGGTTTGAAAACGGTAATTATCATAGAGCAAAGGAAAAAATTACTTTTATTCGCTGCATACATTGGTTGCATTAGATATGAATAACATCAAAAACTTTTTCTTTTTTATATTCAATACGGATTTCAAAACATTATAGATTCCAAGCGTTTATGTGATCGAGATCATCATCGGATTAAATATCATCCGAGGGCTTATTTAACGATATTGCCGTAAAACCTCGACGCTATGTGTTTTGTGCATCTGGACGCCCAAACCATAAACATTAGCGTTGAGGTCTTCCATGTAGGACTAGTACCGAGTAGTGTTTCATCAACGCAGTGGTTTTTCTATCATCTGCCAGCGGATACATGCCACAGTGAATGTTATACTCGCAATTTCTGAGAAAATCATCGTTCTATCCATTTCATTTAGCCCAATTTTGGGTATGGCACGTTGTTAGGTTGTTAATTTTTGCTTGGACTCAACACTCTCCTTAAGTTAGGGATTAAGTTGGCTTAGACACCATGCCTTCTTGACCCTGCGTTCCAATTGAATACAGTTGTTCTCTACATTAAAAATTTTGAGCCTAAACTGATGCAATATTTATAAGTTACTGCATTTGTATGGGAATATGAACGAATTTTTCGGATGGCAATACTGTACAAGTTTGGGAGTGCAGTATATTCATCCGTAAAAAAGAGTTCATATGTTTCCATTCAAGTGCAGTAACCTTTTTATTATGTGATCATTTTTGTTTCATTACCAAATATTTAATAATAAAATTCACAACCAAATATATTTAATAATAAAATTTATTATTATTTTTTATTTAAATATTAAAGTTCACAATCGAAGATTCCTTCAATACACAATATTAATATTCATGCGCATATAGCTACTCCCACCAACCTTTTAACTTTATAATTCAGTGTGAAGGTGTTCAATATCAGGGAATATTGAACGATTTTGACAATGTAAAGTTAACGGAGAAAAAAATATTGAGCATATAATAATATATTATGTTATATTGTTACAGGTTAGGCTCAAAATTTTCTTTGTAACGAACTCCTGTGAATTGAAGGCGGAAAAAAGTATACAACAATACCTCCACCGGCAAGGGCCCTGCAAAACAAATAACCTGTGCCATAACAAACGAGAATACTAAAACGTTTATCCATTACGACCATTGGATTTTTATTCTGTTGTTAACAACGATTATTAATAGTGGGTAAAACTCACGTGGTTCATGAAAGGCATTTACTGTTATAAATTTAAAAATTAATTTTAGTTTTGAAATTAGATTGTAATATAGTTCTAACTAAATTGATTCATTTGTGATTTTTGAGTGATCTGCACAAAAATTGTCATAACTTAATTTCCGGACAAAAATTATCGATTGCTATGGACTTTTAAAATGGTAGTTTGGCATTATAAAAAAACAATACCCACAGCCCCTCACATATTTTGTGTCGAGTCAGTTTTTGCAGACATTTGGACAATTGATTAAACATATCTAGCAGCAATGGGGTCGTACAACTATGACGAAGGCCACGTTTATGAAATCAACGTTTCTACCAAAAATGGACAGGAAGTAATTCGGATACAATTTTTATTAGTAATATGAAATTATTGATTTAAACAAGGGAGAGGGGAGATTGTACATATAAGGTCAGAAAGATAAACCGAGGCTTCTAACATGTCAGTTAGCTCTCCCCTTTCCTCCATGACCATGTGTGTAAAGTGTCCATGTGCGTCATCGTTCATGACTCGAAATAACTGTGTTGGTTCTCACCCTAGAAGCGAAAAAAGGGTCAGATGACAGGTATTTCAACTAAAGATATTAACTAGACTAATGCAATATCGTGTCTTTATTGTAATAAATCCATACGGGGCTTTCTGAGAATTAACAAAAAAGTTTTTAAACCTAATAATATTCATGTCAACGGAATGCCAAGTATATTCAGTAGCGCCATTAAATAAAACCAAAAATTTGCAGTTATCTCTAATCACTTATGGTATCTGAATGTTTTGCGTAACGTAAACCATGTCCATGTTTTTATATCTACCTCGGGAAAATATTCTTGCTGTATATGTTTGTTTATCCAACATAATATCGTCGCACACCACAAAGGTTGTTAATGCTACCATCATCTTCGGGTGTATCATCAATATCAGTTATAAATTCGATGACGTCACCGACATCATTGTTGCTGCTTTCTAAATCTTTTGCATTTTCATTGAATGCCTTAAGAACATTATTGCATCATAGGTCATCCTCGGATGGTGCCACTAAATAAAGTTTGTCACATTTAAGCCATCTCATTATCAGGTTGAGTAGTGACGATCCAGACAAACCAATGATATAGCACGAATAGAATTTGGTAATGCTGGATGATGCTTAACTGGCTTCCGTTCTCGCGTTACTGAGAAGTCAATTACATTCATGTTGTACAAATATCATATGTTTATATTGTGTTCGATGAGAAACAAAAAAATCACAGATACTAGTGGATTAAAAACAACGACAAGAAATCGTCGAAAGCACTTATACGTATCTGCGTGAAATGTGGTTAAAAAATGCAAATATATGGACAAGAAATTCCATGGGCTAAATATCCAGGTGAAACATCTTCCCGGGTATATTGTGGCCCTGGAACTTGACTTGATATTAGGCTCTACGAAAAAAATCAACCAAACCCATGAGAATATCCAGTAAATGAGACTGATCACGCGTGTCATTGTTCATGATGTTGCAGTAGTGGACGTAAAGGGAATTTCTTAGCCAAACCACCTATTTTGTATTAGGACGACAGCGTGTTTTTTTTTATCCCCCTTTCCCTCTGTTAGTCAAAACATAGTAAAAACAATTTTGTTGAGGCAACAAAATCAATTTCTTAGTTTATTACCTAACTCGAGGATCTATCAAGGAAATCATCATCGTCATCAAACAAG